TCATAAGCAGAACGATCATCACATCAAATCTGACCAAGCTAGGTCGAGCGTACTAGTTTCCTGTCCAATCGAAAGCATTGGTACGTAGGTAGTGTAAGAGGCTAGAACTTGGTCCACAGTAACAATGACGACTTCAGAAGAGGCTGGTTACATAAAAATACGAAACTTTGTGCACAAATTATCCTTGATCCTATTATATATGCGGTGATGTCCGAGACACGTTCGCTCGCTAAACGTACTGAAGAATCATGCAGGGAATGGAAGCAGGGAAAGGGATACACATCATCACATGTCATGCAGTGCATGATTTGTGGTTCCTTCTGTTCCCTGCTTCAAGATGCACCACAGATGAAGCTGTTCCCTTATAATTAATTCCGCAGAAAAACGAAATATACATTACTGTCTGCGTGAGCTTGATATAATAAGTATGTAGATCCCTATATGCTGTAGCTCAATGCAAGTTGCGTCAGAGTTCCAGAACACGTTCGTAGTGAGAAGAAACAGATACGCATTGGCCTGCTGAGCTATCGTGTGTACAGTCATGCAAAGCAATGCAAGTGGTACGCACCTTCAGATGTACTAGTGCCATCATCCTCGTCAGCATTGCGGTTGCGGCCCGGCCACAGAGAAGCCATGCATGGCTTCTCACCGAGGTCAATCTGCTCTGCAACTGTGGAGCGGAAGCCACTGGTATGTTCTTGAATGAACGGATATTTTCTTTGTTTCGCCGCAGTGAAAACGATAATACGGAGTATCATTCAACAATGGCATTCACATGTACTGTAGGAACCAGTACTATCACTGCAGACGCCGATTGGCTGCAGCCTGCAGGTCGCTCGCGGCACGGTGTTCCTAGTCAATTTGCAAGGCATTGCGTTTGCGTGCACATCACTGACGCGAGTTGCATGCAAATAGCTTCTCACAAGTCGCGAGCTGTTCACGTCCTGGAACAGGAGGCGGCCGGGGGCGTCAACGGACCTCGCGGGGAGCCAACCGTGCAGTTCCCGGCCGTGCGGGAGGCGCAAGCGCAAGGGTGGGCGCGGCTGCCGAGAACCGTCTCGAAGCTAGCCCGTCCGAGTCCGACCTGGCCGCGACGGCGACGTCGACCCACACACCAGGTTCGCCCGGGATCGGCGGGGCCCCGTCCGCAGCTGGAACTCTCGGGAGCCTCCACCTGGCCGACCCGATCATCTCGCGCAGATACGCGAGGCCGTGCCGCTGACGCGTGAGCCCCGGCCCCCGGGGATGGCCCTGCCTCCGGGGCTTTTTGCTCGTCCTCATGATTGGCGGTCCCCCGCCCGGCGGAGACCACACGACGACAGCCCCAGCTGGCGCCCCGCGGCCACCGGCGACGTCGCGCGCATGCTTGCATGGCTGCGATCTCGTGTCACATGCCGCTTGGCCGTCCGTCCGTTCGGCCTGCCGCCGAGGACGGCCCGCGTGGGTGCGGGTCGGCTCAAGGGCCCCGGCGTGTCGTCGGTGCGACCATGTCAAATACTAATCTGACACCGTTGGATCCTTCGTGCACGGAACACACATGATCTTGTGATACAAATTAAGTCAAAGATGTACTCACATTTTAACTTGTAAGCACCTCCTGCCTCAAGGCAGTGAATGAGCAATACAAATTCAGGTGGGGATCCTCACCCCACGGTGACCTTAAAAAAACACATGATCTTGCGATCAGCACTGTGTATAAGTGCAGATTGTTGTTTGCTTGCGCGCATTGGGAAGAAGATATGGTATTTTTGCATTGGTTAGAACGCCATATGTGTCATTTTCTGTTTTTTTGTGAAGATATTATATGGAAATTATATGTGGTTTTCACCTGTAAATATATGATAATGCTCTGACTCAAACGTTCGACGTTCCGGTAGATAACGATTGGCTATGGCGCCCGCGCGTCCTCCTCCACTCATCTCTTCACGGCCTTATCCGTTCGTCGCACCGTCCGCTCATTCCCACGCCACCTCGCTCCCTCCTGCGACGCGCGCCTGCTCACGACGTGAGGCTCCACCGCACCACGCACACCATCCCTAGCCGTTGCTCTCCATCCGCTCGCTCGCGTGCTCGTGGCTCGCGCGCCTCTCGCCCCTCCCGTCGCGCGTGCCACCGGCTCCCTCCCTGGCTTGTGGCGGTGCCCTCACCCACCCCAGCATCCTCCTCCCCCACTGCGGCATCCTCCCCCCTCACCCAGCGGCTCCTTCTCCCACACTGGCGGCTCCTTCACCCACCCCGGCGGCGCCCCTCCCCCCACACCGGAGTCCTCCCCCACCGGGAGCCCCAATGCCCGCAGATCCAGCGGCCATGGCACTCCCCGCACCAGGCTCTCTCCCCCCTATGTTGTAATTTGTATATTTTAATTGTTTTAGACGTTTCAGAGTTACGTTGCAGTTGAATCATATGGATGTTGCAAAAGTAGATCGGAGGATGTTGCACATGTTGCAATTATTTTTAGAGACATGTTGCAATAGTATGTTTTGAGTGTTTCATATGTTTTAGAGGTATGTTTCATCTGTGTTTTTCGGACGCATGTTGCAGTTGTGTTATCTAGATGTTGCATATATTTGACACATATGTTGCATGTGTTTTATTTGGATATTGCATATGATTGCAATGGTTTTCAAGTGTGTTTCAGGTATTTTTTTAAGTGTTTCAAAAGCATGTTTTCAAGTGTTTCAACTGCCTTTAGACGTATGTTGCAACCGTTGTATTTGGATGTTTCAAAAGTAGATCGGGTGCTGCATCTCTCCTCCTCTCACCTTCTGCTGCACCGTCTCTCTCGGAGCCGGTAGGGCATCCATACAACGCCGCGGCCGTGTCCTTCCGAATCGGAGGCGCCGCACGCCCTTCCTCTTTGTTGCTCGGGCGGCGCGGGCCTCACTTGTAGCGCGAAACGGGCGCGGCATGGGCTTGTGGAAGGGGGAACGGTGGGGGGCTTGCAGAGGGAGCGCGCCTGAGATGGCAGCGCGGTGGCGGGATGGGGGCCGCCGGGGGGCACGCATGTTGGCGCTGCTTTCTGTACGCTGGTGTTGTTTTCTGAGATGCATCCGGACGCTAGGCATACAGGTAAATATATGGTGTTGTGAGAACAGAAATAGTTTAAGCATTTACCTTGTATGTGTGAAACTTAATTGTCTTTTGTTTTTTTTTCCTTCTATTTTCCAAACTATGGTTTTTTATTTTTAACTGAGGAGCACAAAAGAAACACAACTATCCAAGTATGGTGCGTGAACTTTTTATTGCTTGCACAATAATATGATTTGAATGCATAAGACATTCACTAATTCAGTGTCCAACGGTACGCTACTACATCGTGACATGTACCTTTAGCATAAGCTCTAATTTATCTTCATTATGGATAGCAACTAATGATATTTTCTTGAGAGTTTTGTATTACTAGCTATGTACTCACTCCTTTTTTTGTTACAAGCTAGGCATTTTTCTTTTAGTTAGGACAAGACTTTGATCAACAATTATTCTATAGTATTTCATTTATAAGATAAAAAATAATAAGTTTTTTATCAACAATTGCTCCAAAGTTTCTTATGACTAGCTATGTACTCTCCCTTATTTTTGTTACACAAACTAGGTGTTTTTTCTAGTGTTTCAATATATAATAAAATTATAATAATAAGTGAGTACCTTGGAATATCAATCTAATAACATCAATTTCCAATGTAATTTAGTAGTAGGTATATATCTCAACAACGTATATGGTGTTCAACATTTATAGCATAGGCGCAGCTAGTGATAGCTTTGGAGCAATTAACTATTTCTTATTTTGTGAATCCTTGATTACCCACCTCTTGCAAATAAAAGAGAAAAGTGATCAATGTGGATTTCCATATATATCTCAAAAACACTAATGAGCAAGTAAATAAAGGTAGTGAGGCATGAGATTTATTTTTGATGAGGTTCAAGTCATACTCTTTGATAAAAAACAATGGCTTCGTTTTTTAATTTATCAAAATGAAAATAATTTACATTTCTTTTCTTTTATATATATATATATATATATACATTCCAACAAATACAGGGAGATCGAGCTCCTCCCATACCCTCGCCCCAATCTAAGTTCTATGGAGATAGGAGTGCTGCATGAGTAGAAGAAGAGGGAAGAGGTGAAGGACAAAGAAGAATAGCCATGGGGTTGGAGCAAGAGGAATGGAGAATATAGCCAAGGGTCGCCTCTTATGTCTACCCCATATCATTTTCAGAAGACTTGTCAAAACAACATTTTTTTCATATTCGTGGTCAATATAAAAGCACATCTGTGATTTATAAAACAAAAATGTTTAGAAACACAAGGACTATGTGGGGACACGAGGAAGATCTAGCCGATTCCAAAAATATTCTCTCGGTTCCATAAAGGTTGTAGTTCTAGTTTTGTCCTGAGTTAAATATTACTATTTTCTAACATCGGTTCCTATAAACTCATGTAGTTTAACAACATATGAATTATATATTACGAAAGTATTTCTGGTTAACCTAAAAACACAAATCCTATGATGGTAAAGTATACAAATTTCTACAAATTGTTGAGCAAAAACAGAAATGTTTGACATTGGACAAAACTAAAACAACATACTATTAGAAACGGAGGCAATATTAGCTTAGAATTTGTGCTGCCGGACAAGCACAACTTAAGGCGCGCCGGACTAGGGACTTATCCTCCCAGCCGCATGCAGGTCTTGACTTTAACCTATGCTCTTGAGATTTGCCAGCAGCGCTCCTTCTATAAATACCACGCAAGGCGTTGCCTCGACCTCCACCATTCGAAAGATCCGTCCATCAAAGATTTTTCTTCTCTGTCCCTCTCTCTCGCGCGCGCTCTCCTCACAACACACAACACAGTCTCGATCTCTCCTCCTCCCAGCCACCAACGTATAAAGCAGGCTCTCACACACAGAACGCACAAGCTCAAACCAAAACTCGCAGCGGGACAGTCTGCAATCGCAGCAACTGATCTGCTTCTGCCTTCTCAGCATATCAGTTGGATGGCCTTCTTCTTCATCCTTGTTTGCACCCTCATTTTTCTAGCCATCGCCTCCTACGTTCAGTACGCACGCTGGCAGAAGGGGAAAGGCCGCCGCTTCGGCGACCATGAGAAGGCTTCTTCTTCTTCCTTGAAGCTGCCTCCTGGCTCCATGGGCTGGCCTTACCTTGGTGAGACCCTCCAGCTCTACTCCCAGGACCCCAACATCTTCTTCGCCTCCAAACAGAAGAGGTACGGCGAGATCTTCAAGACGCACCTCCTGGGTTGCCCGTGCGTGATGCTGGCGAGCCCGGAGGCGGCGCGGTTCGTCCTGGTGACGCAGGCGCACCTGTTCAAGCCGACCTACCCTCGCAGCAAGGAGCGCATGATCGGGCCGTCGGCGCTCTTCTTCCACCAGGGCGACTACCACCTCCGCCTCCGCAAGCTCGTCCAGGGCGCGCTCGGCCCCGACGCGCTCCGCGCGCTCGTCCCTGAGGTCGAGGCCGCCGTGCGGTCCACTCTCGCTTCCTGGGGGGACGGCCACGTCAGAAGCACGTTCCACGCCATGAAGACGGTAAGCAAGCAAGCAAGCATGCATGCATCGCCAACGATGATGTCCGTAAGGTCGAATGAATCGGATGTCTGAGAATCCCTTGTTACGTTTCAGCTGTCGTTTGATGTGGGCATCGTGATGATCTTCAGCGGCGGCGGCCGGCTGGACGAGCGGCGCAAGGCGGAGCTGAGGAAGAATTACTCTATCGTGGAGAAGGGGTACAACTCCTTCCCCAACAGCCTACCGGGGACGCTCTATTACAAGGCGATGCAGGTGAGCACGCAACGGCATTTACAACCCAACTGATCTCTAGTACCTTCTGGCGGTACCCTGACACGTGACACGTATGCGTGTGAAACCGTTCGACACTATAGGCGCGGCGGCGGCTGCACGACGTGCTGAGCGACATCATGCGCGAGCGGCGGGAGCGTGGCGAGCTGGGCACCGACCTGCTGGGCTGCCTGATGCAGTCCCAGCAGGGCGGCGACGATGGCGCGGCGCCGCTCCTGAGCGACGAGCAGGTCGCGGACAACATCATCGGCGTGCTGTTCGCGGCGCAGGACACGACGGCCAGCGTGCTCACCTGGATCGTCAAGTACCTCCACGACCACCCCAAGCTCCTGGAGGCCGTCCGGGCGGAGCAGGCGGCGGTCCGCGAGGCCACCGACGGCGGGAGGCTGCCGCTGGCGTGGGCGCACACGAGGAGCATGGCGCTGACGCATAGGGTACGTATTTGCTAGCTGGAAAATGCAAATAAAACCTCTGACAGCGTGTTCTTGTGGTTACTGATGGCGCCGTTATTCTGCTCAGGTGATTTTGGAGAGCTTAAGGATGGCGAGCATCATCTCGTTCACGTTCAGGGAGGCCGTGGCCGACGTGGAGTACAAAGGTACGCACGTGCGCACACGCATGCTGCTTGCTGCAGCCTGCGGTCGGCGTGGGGCTACGTCACCGTAGAGGCGCTGCTTGGCACTCCTTTTTTTTCTGCACGTAGCAACGAGCAAGAAGGGTTAATAATTCTGACTCGGATTCTTCCTTGTATTTCCTTGGCGTGTTGTAGGGTTCCTTATCCCCAAGGGGTGGAAGGTGATGCCGCTCTTCAGGAGCATCCATCACAGCCCGGACTACTTCCAGGATCCACACAAGTTCGACCCTTCTAGATTCCAGGTACCGTATCCGGTCTCGATCCTCACCGTAGTTGCTGTAGTTGACGTCGATGCTCGCGTATCAGCGAGGAACTGAAAATATATATGTTGCTGATGAGCCTCTCTTTTTTTTCTTCTTCTGTGGTGGTTTGTGGAACGACGACGTGTTGCATATGCAGGTGGCGCCGCGACCGAACACGTTCCTGCCATTTGGGAACGGCGTGCACGCGTGCCCCGGGAACGAGCTGGCCAAGCTCGAGATGCTGGTCCTCATCCACCACCTGGTCACCGCCTACAGGTGCGTTCATCTCCTCCCAGATTCTCCATATATTTCCGCTAGCTTTGTCCTTGTGGACGAGGACGACACGTGGCTGGTGGTGCCACTCCATCGCCCACCTCTCCGTGCATGCTCCAAATCTCCTGTATCTGTATGTATGCCTGCATCGATCATATATGATGAGCATCGTCATCAGCACTGATCACAGCTATACATAACGACAGTTTGAGTTGTTTGTTGATCTTATACATCACTGAGATACTGATTGGCGTGCGCATGCTTTACTTAATTTGCAGGTGGGAGATTGTTGGATCCAGTGATGAGGTCGAGTACAGCCCATTCCCTGTGCCCAAGCATGGCTTGCCTGTCAAATTGTGGAGAGACAACAGTACGGTGGACAGAAAGGGGCATCAGTATCAGACCGATGATGTGGAGGACATAATAGTTCGACACTTAAATTAGGCATTAATTTAACCAAGCTAGCTAGCTAGACAAGTTTTTTCTTTAGATTCTTCTTTTCTTCTTTGCTCGACCTTCTCCTCAATCAAAATTACGTTGAGGGAGAAGAAACGGCAGCGTTCTCTTTTCGTTTTCTTTGCCTTTCCCCGATAATGATGATGAGAATGTAAGCTACCTGGATATCAATGATCCAGTATCGTTGCTATATATATGCACACGAAACAGGGAGCGGTATTGCCCCTTCTGCTCTCCGATTTTGTGTTGCCATTCTTAACAAACATGTCGAACTAAACAAATTTAGCGTTCGGAAGTTAAGTTTTGGTGTGCAAAACCCATCATTAGATGGAAGCGACTGGATTTAAAAATAACAATATATGTGTTGCTATCAAGTTTAATAACGATTGATTGTGCAATATGTAAAACTAGCAAGTTGGTTTGCTCAAATAGCACGGGGGGAGCTAGTTTGCTTACTGTGGTATTTAGATTTTTTATTTCATTTTTTTTTTTGCAATAGTTTCGTTTATTTAGTTGATTATATTTGTTTTCTCTCGATGCCCCTTTATCTATTGGCATGGACGTCAACTCTAATTAAGAGCTATTGTAATCTTTCTCATCATTTTCTTTTTTTTTCTGTTATTATTTCTCGTGACCTGCGCAATTTTAGCTGACGCCAAGTAGTCTTTGGTATCATCTTGGTGAGCTCTATTAGCGATAAAAACCACTTTTGAAGTCTTCAACTAGTTCCTTAGGTCTCTTATAGATTTGAATCTAAGATGATCTTGCTTCTTCTATTATGGATCTATAGTTTTTTTCCTATAGTATATTATGCACCACAATGCTTTTCATGACTTGGAGCTATCTGCTAAGAGCCTGGCAACACCATTTAGTTTCATGTAATCATGAATCATTTTAATAGACAACTTATTACAATGAGTTGTCCTTTTAGTTGTCTTGTCATAACTTGCACTCCTTAATTATTTATGCATGGAAATTCATCATGGCATAGATTCACAATGCATATAATCAAATAAACAAATAATTATAATTCATATAATTAAATTGCCATATAAATTGCATACTATCAAATTGATATATAAACACAAATCACAAGCATTCTCAATTTGACAAATAAGCATGCTTAGAAACCTAACTCATGTGTGGTGTTGGGCAACTCTGTTGGCATGTGGGGAAGGGCATTGGCTCAGCGGCATGAGGTAGGGGCTACACTCAGGTATAGGGAGGCATGGAGATGGGATGATACACGCGGAAGAAGAGATCTTGGTGGGCAACACTACGTCACCCATCATTTGTAGGGGTGGTTGCTGATTTGTAAGGGCAGCTGGATATAGAGCCACTCCTACAAATCCGTTTCCGAAAATTCATAAATCTGGACAAAAAAAATACGATTTTTTTTAATCCGGGGAGGCCCTCACCAGTTAGCCACACGTCCCACGCTCGCAAGCCACAAGTCGTGCATTTTTTCGCGCAAAAACGCGTGCTTCGCGGCTGCGGGGGTTCGAACCCACCACCTTGGCCTCGCGCGGCTATTTGTAGGGGCGGCTGATAACACCACCAGCCGTCCCTACAAATTCATTTGTAGGAATGGCTCGTTTGGGAACTATTTGTAGGGGAGACTGAATATAGAGCTGCACTAAAAAAAAAAGAAGCGTTGCTACAAAAAAAATTTTTAGTAGTGCAGGGTAATGCTCGAGGACGGAAACATTGCTGGCCTGCTAAGGGACAATTTGTGGTGGCGGCTCACAACCTGGATCTACCGGACCTTGCTAGGGTTCTTGCACGGAGGATCATGGGGTCCGGGACGAATGCTTGCTTGAGGAAGGACTGCAGAGCGAAGGAGTGTGGCAGGGATGGGGTGGCTGGTGGTGATGAGACGGGACATTAGTGGCGTGACGCATGATTAGGAGGACATGAGAAGACAGATGGATAGCTACATATTTGGTGATTGTTTAGTATTATTTTTGTCATAAGAAGAAGAAATATCGGTGGCATTTAGTTTCATCAGCAAACTATGTTTTTTAAGGAAACTATGGAGCAGAGCTCCCCAACACTTTATTAAAAAAGCTGAAGAAACCACTGCAACATGACGTGATGATTTAATTTGGACACCTTACTGATATGATATTAAGGTGGGACTAGAACCATTTGTAAGCTCATCAAACAAGCTTTCCATTAAGTAATCAAGGATCTTAATCGCATCTTGATAGAAGAGGTATGGCCTTTTCAATAAAATACTGGGCTTCGATGAATTTGGACTCCAAGATGGTGTATTCGCGCACCCCAGAGCACATACAAAACGTATTGTTCAAGTTCATAGTATCTCATCGTTATTCCTAAGTATATTAAAAATAACGATATTATGCCGCAACATGATTTTAATTATACTGTATTACGTAAATATAGGGATGAACTCGTCTGATATTCAATGATCGTATCAATAGATGTCGTGTCCTTACCACACGTGAGCTCGTGGCCACGTTGATGAGGATGCCTATGCCTGCGTTGGTCGTCATGGTACTCGCCCACAATAAAGCTCCTCAGCGAAGGACACCAGGTCCATTTGGAGACCGACGAAGGTGCTCCCCCTTGATGCACCACGAGTAGGCGTCGTAGAAGAAGCGGCGGATGGCAACGAGGCCTGCCGTGCCCGGAAGGCGGCACTCATCAGCTACGCATTTGTCCAAGCACTCCGCCACCAGCGTCGCCGGAAAACGTACGTGTGGATGCCGTCCGCCGCTGCTGCCCAGCAACGAGTGGATGTGTGCAAGGAACTCCAATGGATGTGTGAATGTTTCCTTCGGCTTCCAAATCCATCGATCTCTAGCTTTTGTTAGACCTTGCGGCAACGAATATCCACGTCTAAACAAGATCTATCAAGTCCAAAGCGAGTTGAGTGCATTTAAACATTGGATAATCCAATTAAATCCCAGGCATTGCCAGGCGTGAGACGATGAGAGCCTCAGCGCCCCGACGCGCCATGCACGGTAGTACAAGCTGATGCCTGACGCTACGCTAGAGTCCCACGCTGTCGAGTGAGTTGGCGCCCGTCCCGTCCACGATCGCCGTCTCGCGGCAAGGCCGTTAATTGGAGTCCAGCTCAGACTGACCGGGCGCCGCACAGGCGCACAGTGCCCTGCCCCTCCCTCGACCGCACACGCCGGACGCGTGGCGCCGGAGCCGGCGGTTCGGCTTCCCTTTTCAGCCACATTCCCCGTCCCACGTCGCACTGGCCGATCCCCGCGCACAAGGGTCCGGCCGTACGTGCAGTTCGGCGATTCGTTTTCGCGCTAGCTGCGGCCTGCGGGTGGTCCGTGGTCGCGGAGGACGGGAGGGACGGGGGGCCAGCGCTGCACTCGGCTCCAAGGCCAGCTAGCCAAGGACGACGACGCATCACAGCGGCCACACAATCTCCGGCGCCCTTGACGGTTTGCCCGCCATCTGTCTTTGCAGCCCTGTAGCTAGTTGAATGCATGGGTACCAGGAAAATTGCTGCTGGGCACGCAGCGCCCGGGCATTCGGATGTGTCGTGGTCCGGAACTCATTCATAGATGCCATGCACATGCAGGCCAGTGCTCGTGCATAAGCGAAGAAGGCAAAGATAGCCAGCTCCTGCGCATCGAGGCTCCCAAAGCTGGCTTTGCCATCGGACTATCGGACGGCCTAGTTACGAAGCTCAGCCCATTCGGCCGTATCCTTGGCGACTATGGGCCACCGGCCGGTCTAACCAACGTCCTGGACCACGAGTAGGGCTGTCAAAAAGGAAAGGAAAAACGATCAAGGCTTGTGACCTACTCCTCCATCCAATTTTATCTGCACGTTGAGGTTCATGGAAGAGAACTTAGTACACAAGGCAAATGACAATATTACCCCTATGAAAAGTAGGCCCTGACATCTGACGTGCTTCACCCTGCCACACCAATTTGCACGAAAGTCACAGTATGCACAGTAAATGGAGCAAACTTGTGGCCAGGAACTGCACACGTACTCCACTCCTTACGTAAGCTTATCATTTTTATTCAATGTCAATTTTTATATTGTGTTGCTTCCCTGCTGCAGCACAACCTTCTAGTAGATAGCTTTGCAATGCACATTGGATCTCGTACGCAATGTGGTCGTTTAATTTGGGAAAAAATTTGAACTGCAGAAGTGCAGTTATTTCTGGACGGAGGGATAAGTACTCGCGTTCGGCTGGTCTTTTGTTTCAAGGCTCGTGAGCTTTAGTTCAAAGCATCCAGGGCCTGGGCCTCTCTCCATGTATTTTCTTGTCCAACTGCATCCAGGGCCCGCCCTGAGGGCGTCGAGCCGTCGAGCTGTGCCATCTCCCTGGGCCAAAAACTGTCTGTAGGTATAGGAAGGCCCAACGCTATCAAGACACGACATTGGAGATTCCAGAGCTCGGCTGTTGTTTGCAAATTTTATCAGTAACTAGCTCTACATAAGTAGTGCATCTTAGTAAATTGAGTTTAAGTGTGAATTCATATTCTGTATTCGGTGTGTGGGTTTTTTAGTGAGAATTGTAGGACAAGTTATGATGGATTGTAACACTAAAAGCACAATTCTCAATAAATTACCGCCCCTCCCATGGTAAATGATTGGTATGAGTTGATCATCTAAACTCCGATCTCCTTTATATCAAAACTCTCACTCATACGAACTAAACTCTTACCTTCAAACTCATTTTCCTCCATTTAATTACCTACAAACAAACATGTCATTGGTAAAATACTTTTATTGTCAAGAAAGTATGCATTTGGCAGTCAAAGAAAAAAGTATTGAATCGTTTAGCAACTTTATGCATTGAAACAAATCTATTGGATGAAATTGTACTGATACCATCATTAATGACTACGCATCTACAAATGTCACATTTTTAAGGTAATATACATAAATAATTTTATCTCAATATTAATTTTGGATGCATTTAAATGCCGACTAGAAATAAAGTATATTATTAGAAAGTATATTATTAGTTTAATATTGATATTAATACAAGTTCTATTATTAAAGGACCTCTTCTTCTTGTTTCGCAATCGCTATCTAAAAATAGGTTTTTCCCTAGTACATAATAGGTTTATATTTATACAGACAAGGTCTAAATTGATCGGAAAAAAAGACAAGGTCTCAAAATAGAAAAACGCAAGTTTGACTCAATTGCCATGTCAAATCAACAAAATACTAATCGATTGCCACACAAAAGAACCTTAAGGATCAACTTTCTAATTGTTACCTTGTTTTCTTTACAAATTCTTTATTCTCAAATTAAGTTAAAAAATATTTTGATTATTTTTTTTGAAGAAAATAAAAAAAATTATTTTGATTATTGTATCTTTTGTTTAAATATCTCATTTATATGTTTTCAAAGATAAATATTTTAGATCGTAGGCTACATCCTTAGGACACTCTCAATACAGAAACTATTTAATGGTTTCTATGACACAATAAACTATCTTTACAAACTATGCTTTGCAATGCAGTATTTGCTAAAGTGTCCAGCTAAAAAAATCCCACCAATCGTTCACCTCTCTTCTTCCCAGTCCTCCAAATCCCGTGTGGCCTGTGTAGCTGTGGCCGCGCGCGATGTCCCGTGGCAGCGCGCTAGGAAGCGATGGCACGCGACGTCCGGCGGCGGTCCCGTCGAGTGTGATTAGGATATATCGGATGCGTAAATCAGATGCAACAATGCAAGCAAGGGATCGTGCCTGGCTTGTGAGTGTTCTTTTGCTTTTTGTTGCCTTGGGTAGTGTTTGGTTTTGGGGATGAGGTGGGATGAGGATGGGATGATCCGCTTTTTGACCGTTTGGTTGGGAGTCCTTAGGAATTGGGATATCCCACCTAGAGCATATCCATGGAATATTCGGTGAAATCGGGACCGAGCCCGTCCCAGAAAAAAGCATGGACGGGGATGTCCTCTTGCGACGGTGTGAGCATCTCCAGATGATGGCGAATGTGAGCGCGGCCTCCTCCGGCGCGGGCGAGCTCCGATCGGGCGCCCACAGGGCCACCTCCGGGCTCCGGCGCGGCGCGGCGCGGCCCCAGCTCGCGGAGCTCCGGTGTGACCCCAGCTGGTGCGGCGCGGCCCTAGCTCGCGAAGCTCCGGCGCGTGGGCGAGTCGGACGAGCAGTAGCTATGGCGCGTGCGAGCGTGGGGGAGTTCGATGAGCAGCAGCCATGGAGCGTACGAGCGTGGGGGAGTCCGACAAGCAGCAGCAACCATAGCATGGAGAGGAAGATAAGACATCACGCCTAGAAAGAAGATAAGGGAGAATAAGAAATAAAAAAAATTAAAAAGAGTATGACAAGTGGGTCCTAGGAAACAGTAGTCGACGGCGTCAAATTCATCCTTCATCCCATTCATATTTATCCCCTCAACCAAACATAAAATGGACAGCAACAACCATAGCACGGGGAAGAAGATAAGACATCACGCCTAGAAAGAAGATAAGGGAAAATAAGAAATAAAAAATTAAAAAGAGTATGACAAGTGGGTCTCAGTTAACAGCAGTCAACAGCGTCAAATTCACCCTCCATCCCATTCATATTTATCCCTTCAACCAAACATAAAAATAAGATGATCCCGTCCTTGTCAACCAAACAAAAAATAAAGCTGTCTCATCCTGTTCCATCCCGAAAATCAGAGACAGAACCGTCCCACCTCGCCTCTGACTCCCAACAAACGCACCCTTGTTGGATCTATCGATCCGAAGGACTAGCGACGACGATACAGGCAACAGCTAGCCAGGAGCCGTACTGCAACTAAGCTCTCCCGATCTCCCTGCTTCGCCTTGCATTGGATGATTGGATCTCCCTGCGCGCGAGGTTTGGCGGCAACGAGGTCCAGCAACGGGCCCGGCGAGGTGCTGCCGGCAACGCGTGAGGTCAGGTGGCCGTGCGTGGTCCGCTGCCGGCAACGCGCGAGCGAGGCGGACACACGAGGCTCCGAGGCGGCGACTGCGCTCTCCACGGCGGCATGCGAGGTCCACGGCGGTGTGCGACGGCGCGCGAGGCTGGTGCAGGCTTCGTCAGCGAGGGTGGTGGCCTGCTCGCACGGGATCTGAAGCAAGAGATGGAAACGATCCTTTCTCTCCCAACGCAGCGGCCCGTAGTTGCTTCGTTCTCGATAACCTCGTAGACGTCTATCTTAGATTCGGTTTCCCGTGTTTTCTTTCTGTTTCTTCGATAAATACAGTGCCACAAAAGTAAAAATTAAAAAAATAGAGAGGTAATAAATAAACATAGAAACTATGGTTGAGTCTATATGGGAGTGCCCTTATATTACTATGATGTATCGTTTAAGTCTACACCACGGTGTCGATACTAAAGATTGTTAGTAGTGTTTGAGGCGAGATAAAGTGGGATATTTAAGCCTAGGGCACCGTTCGCTGGTCTGGTTGACCAGCCGGCTGCTCCTCCTCACAAGACATTGTTTATCAACCAACCGTTACAGTATTTTTCTCTCATAAAAACAGCCAGTTTCAGCTAAGTTTCAGACCAGCGAACGGGGCCTAGAAAGGTCTAGCACTCGGAGGTCCGGACGGGTCTAGCGTCCGGACGGACACGCCTGCTGTGCCTACTTCACGTGGGTGCTCGCGTCGCTCCGTGTCCCGCGCTGCTTCGTGTCCTACGCCTGCAGCGTGGCCCGTGCGCGCTTCGTGCCCCGCGCTCGCACCGTGGCGCCCCCTCCACATCCACACGCATGCAGGCGGGCCCGGCAACTGCAGCAGGTGCCTGGTGCAGATGGGTCCCACTACAATATGTGCAACATCAAGATCTACTTTTACAATATCTAGATAAAACACTTGTAACATACGTACGAAACAATTGAAACACTTGCAACATACGTCTGAAACACCAAGAAAACACGTTTGTAGCCATTGCAAAACATATGCAACATCCAGATGAAGCACTTGCAACATACATCTGAAACAGATAAAATATTTGGAACATACACTTAAAAACACCATTGCAACATGTGCAACATCCTGATCTAATTTTACAACATCGATATAAAATATTTGTAACATACCTCTGAAACACTTGAAATAGACGCTTGCAACATGTAGTTTCAGCGCAACATTTCCTTGCTGCTAGGAGAATGGATCCTTGTCGACGTGTGGAGTTCTATCCTGGCCGTCGCGGGCTGCACGTGGGCGACTTCCGCGCCAGCCATGGCGAACTGGGTAGGTGGGCGCGAGATGTTCATGGGCGGGCTCTGCCCTGGGCTACCGTGAGCTGCATGCGGGCGAGCTCCATACCTGGCTGCATCGAGCTAGGCAGGCGAAGATGAAGGTCTTCCTGGCCGTCAACCAAGCGTCCGCGCCCCCGTGGTGGCGGCGACAGCTGTCTCCCTCACTACGGTCTACGGGTGGGTGGCGCATCGCGGTCGGTGGAGCTCGTGCGTATGCGGACGCTAGCAGAGCTCGTGCGTTCACGACCGAAGGGCGGATGGTGCGGTGGAGCCGATGTGAATGGGGAAGATAAGATGTCGCTTTTTTTATTTTTTGGAGAAACCGTGTATGCTAATGAGGGGAGCAGAGGCCTGTGAACTGGTTCGCAGCCCAGCTAGTCACGTCCGGACTGACCGACGTGGAACGGACGTCCGTGGTGGAGCATTAGCGTTAAGCCTAATAACCATTGTTTACCCTAAGAATTTTAAAGACCCAAGAGATCATAGCTACCTTTGGTCTATGCTAACGTCATCAATTTTCCTTATAAAACAATTATATATCTATAAATACTTAATTGAAAATAGAGTGCTCACCGTTGTATTATTAAAATAGACATGTCATGATGCTTCAATTAAAATATACAAATTTATTAAAACTAACAAAAGGATATATTTTATAATTTGTTAGTGCATTGGTGTTTATTACAAATTTATTAACCAAGCTATTTTAAGTTATATGTTTTTTATGTTTGACCGAAATTATAAAAAAAGGTACAAATATGATTTGCGACACCAAATGAGCACATTATGAAAATATATTTTTTATTATCTAATCTAATGGTACTAATTTGGTGTGGCTTTTTTCTATAAATTTAGTTAAAATTTTAAAAGTTTGACATAAGCAGCCTGTTAGTTTCGGCCTATTCGCTCGTATCTGGCTTATAATCCACAGCTTGAGTAGTGTTTTTCTCTCACACCAAATCAGCCAGCAGTACTTTTAGCCATGGCTTATAAGCCAATTCAGCCGAAACAAACAGACTGAAGATAACTCTATAAATTGATTTATTAGAGACAAAAGGGCTGATTCGTCGTGGTCACGTGGCCTCCAATTAATAATAAAAAGATAAGATAGCTATAGCGGTGGTAAAAGTGACCCATCCCTTTCATTTTGTTGTAGCTTCGAACGTAAGAACCAACCAGAGTTGCAAATAGTATAAAAGTTTTGTTTGGCTGCACTCTAATCTATATGGGTTGGAGAGGAATTGAGGTGATTAATTGTCCACTCTAATTCCTCTCGATCCATATAAAACTAAGGCGGATTTAAGTGCAGTCAGAAAAGTACTATAATAAAAGGTTTAAACAAAATATTTGAAAACGATAATGTTCCATTCTAAACACATGGGCTGCTTCTAGCCCGTTTCACTCATCTCTACTTTCAATCTTGCTACCTCCAAAGCATCCCATAATTAGTTTTTAACAAGCGTTACGCCTATCTCCTGTGTCCCGTGTTCTGTCTTTACAGTTTTACCACAGCACTGGGTTTTGGCTACTTACTCGATCGACGGAATATCCTTGCCATCAACCTCACCTCCTTGGACGATAAATGCAAACACGCACAAAAGCATGCATGAACACGCGATCGCTGTAAAGCTGGCGGCAATGTCACGGCCAGCCATGGCGCATCATCAGTTCCAACCATACCTTAATTCTCGCCGCCGCACCGCCCGGGGCCCGACGACGGGACGCCGACCCACGGCTCGCCGACCCTGATCATCTTGATGGGACGCTCGCTGGCCACCGCCTCCTCGCACCGGCCCCTCTTCCTTGCGGCGGCGTCCTTGAGGAGTACGCCGAACAGCTTCACGCTCTTCCCCTCCTCGCCGCCGCCGCGCTCCAGCTGGTGGTTGGCCACCACTGCGCGGCGCTGTGCCTGTGCGTCGGCGTCACCGGCGGCCGCCCCCGCCGCTCGCACGTCTTCCCCTTCCTGCATGAGCAGCCGAAGGTCGAGCTGCCGGACGTCGAGGAAGCGCGAGAGGAAGCCCAGGAGCTCCTCGCAGTGCCGGCGCGCCTGCGCCAGCTCGGTGGACAGCGTGCGGTTGTCCTTCTTGAGCTGCTCGTTCTCGCTGGTCAGCTGGTCGGCCCGCCGCGGCGGCGACGACGCCGATGAGGAGCTTCGTTCGTTGCCGCCGCCGCCAGACGTGGTGGCCGGCGACGCGGGAGCGGGAGGCGGGGGAGGGGGTAACGGCGGAGGGAACGCCACGTTCACGCCGCTGCCGCCGGACTTGGATGACGACTGCGGCGTCGTTGACTTGCGGCGACGGATGCCGGACAGGAGGCCCTGCTCGCCTCGCCGGAAGTTGTCGTTCGCGAACTCCCACCGGTCCGGCACCACCTTCCGGAAACCCTGCATGGATGGTCACCATCGGCGTGACGTGAGTATCCAATGCAGATCGATGCTAAAAAAAAACAACGGCGAAATGATCAAATGTGCTGCATTCATCAGTGTTCCATTCAGCCAGTCCCTAAACAATTCTTGATCTCTAACACGTCAATTTCAGAGGCGGAATCAATCGTGTGCAAATCTGTATGACTAAAGATCATTATTTGAGATATCAAACTAGGACTCTACAAGCGTATCATCACTACCAGCTTATCACGACAAGCGTGCCTACTGTTAATGTCAAATTCCTATCACCACCAAACGTGGAAAAAGTTGCTGATAAAGGGAAAGGCCAATAGCCATTTCGTTGGATATATAGAACGCTAACACGTCAGGCCCGTCTACTTTGACTATGTTGCTCACATAGTCAGATAACGCCTTAGCTGTTCACACACTCATAGAAGCTAGCTCTCCCTCTAACTAGAATAGTTCAAGGACCAGTGAGAACAAATAAACCCGGTTTCAGTGTGAAGCTTTTGACTGTGCTAGTGGCCAAGTCATAATGCATCTCCGTACAAGGTACAAGATTCAATCACAGCGCATATTCAGTTGTTGACTAAAGTAAATCTTCAATCTAACTTCCAAATTAATTTCTTTTTTTTATGAAATCCAAATTAATTTATCACAGCGATTTCCGATCCCAGCTAACAAATGGAAGGCAACAGAAGTATTGTGTGCCTTGGATGATTATATTGCTTGTTCAACTAGCATACACACGTCCAATTATATTCATAGCTAAACTAACCTTCTTGTAGGCCACGCAGAAGAGCCCAGAAAAGCTAATCCATCCGAAGCTTCCTTAAGATCGATCGCAGGGCCCGGGCGCACTACTAGAATATCATGTCATGGTTCTGTCGCCACTATAATACCGTGGCGTGTGAAGCGATCGACCTGACCAGGCACTAATCAAATGGTGAACCTCTGTGAGTGTTTTTAAATAGTAGTAATACACTACCACTAGTCATAGTACATAGAAATCTCACTAAGAGATATTTAGTAGAAAAAATTTATATTAAATTTGAATACTAAAACATTAAGGGAAGCCCACCAAACCGAAAAATTCTAGAATTCTGGTTGTGAAGACAGACGCGCGCCTAATCTGCTTTTCTTATTCCACGGAACTGCCAGCTCGCTTCCACCTCTCGCAGCTATCTAGCACCTTTTGCGTGTTGCTACTAGGTGTCTTGGGAGGCCAAATGAAGCGACCACTTCTTTGACCGTCTCCAACAATAAATTTATAAGGGCATCAAACCTAAAATAGGCAGTAAAAGACTTAAAATCAGCCTCCAACAGCGTATCTATACGAGATACTTATTTTGGGTTATCTAAAAGTCACAACTCAAATATAGGCATCCTCTCTCCTGGAAACTTATTTGCAGAAAGAATTCTCTTTTATATCTCGTTGTCGGAGAAGATGCCAAATAATTATTGAACATTTTATCTGTATCGCTATCTAAAGGATAAATGAGTCTTGTATTTTGGGTGTTGTTGTGAGAGATAGCCTTACTTACCACGTGTTGGTCCAGTGTCCTGGCTAGGCCTATAGGATAATAAGTACTACAGCACAAAGATATGGATAGGTACCCTCAAGTCTCATCGCAGGTCATTCCTCTATATCCAGCTAGCTCTGAGTGACACTGAAATGACATGCAAAGATATATGTCCGTGCTTTGCAAGAAAGTTAAATCATACGTATTAGGTTCAACAATTTAGAAGGAAGCGGCCGGGGGGCCCTTGAAAACAACCACACCCGCGAGAGTTTTGGAATAACTAAAGGGGGGAAATGAAGCGAACATCAGCAGGAGGTTCAGCCACCCTTTCATCTTTCTCCGCTTCGATCTCTTTTTCGGTTTTTTTTTATCTTAATAAAGCATTCAGGATGACCCGTCATTTGGACCATAGTAACCGATGATAAGCATGCTTTGCGTGGGAAAAGGGTGGAATTAAAGGGAGGTAGAGATTGACTTGCGCACGTACGTACTCCTTCCTATGAACCGCGACACGCATGCGTACCTATACTAATTATTAATTAATAGTCTGATTGACTGTCTGCTGTACGCCTGTACTGTTGTTCTATATCGAAGCGAAGGTCACAGGTCACGTCCAGGTACTATACGTGCGTACCTGGACTCGTCAACCACACGCACAGGGCACAGCTAGCTTAATTATCGCGCGTCCAGAGGCTTCTTCTTTCATCAGTTTGGTTGAGCTACATGTGCACCACCGCGGCTTTATAAACTAAGGTGCCCCCACACAGAACAGTCGTGCGGCGGCAGCAATTCTGGAAACAGCGGGCTGTCGAATCAGAAGCAAAGCAACGGATGGAGGACTTTTCCGCAACCCAAGCAAACCTTTGTTGATGAAAGACAGCCTGTTCGTCGGTTATATTTGACTTATAAGTCATGACTTATCAGCCAATCAATAAATATTTTTTTTTCACACCTTAAATCAGTTAAACAGTAATTACAGCCAATCCTAACGATCAGGGCGCGAGTCATCGAGCACAGATGAAAACAACACGCTATAGAAATCGGAACACAGAAGAAGTAGCATGGCCGCGACAACGATAGCGCGCCGGCCCCAGGTCAGAAGCCCAGAACTAACATATCAATTACAGTAGGAAACGATCATCTAGCTATCTGATTAATTGTTTGATACGGTAGCAACTAGCAACTGATGACTAACCAAGCAAGCAAGCAAGCAAAGCAAGCGGTGTGTAGTGTGTACTCACGTAGGTGTTGAGCTGGCGGACGAAGGAGGAGAAGTTGCAGTGCTTGAAGTGGAGCGGGAGGAGGTCGCGCGCCAGCTCCACGGGCTTCCACACCACGAAGGAGCGGCCCTGCTCCGCCCACGAGATCACCTCGTCCGTCGCCCGCTCCTCCACCATCTGGTGCGTCTTCGTCAGGAACGGCGCCGGCCCGCCGCCGCCGCCTCCCCTCCCGCCGCTGCTCTTCGACGCCACGGCCACGGCCACGGCCGCGGCTTCTTCCATCTCTCGATCGATCGGCGCGACTGGCCGGCTGCTTACACGATCCAACTCACACGCTAGTATATATGTGTGTTGTGTAGCCTACTAATCACTGGTGCGTTGTGTGTACGGCTGAGCTATCTAAGGGGACGAAGAAAGAAGGTAGCTAGCTAGCTAGCTAGTAGGAGGCTGCTGCTGCGGCGGCGGCGGCCGAGAAGAGCAGGAGGGCGGTGAGGAACTCCCAGCCCCAGACGTAGAACCCGGTGACGACCGCCCTCCGCCCGCACCCGCCCGCCTCTACTCCCATGTAAGCGCCTGCGCCGCCGCCGCGGCCCCCTCGGCCGGCACGTACGGTCTGTGCTGCTTCCAGCTGCTGGGCTAGCTCCGGCTACCTACCTCGCGTCGCTCGTCTGGGGAGAGTCGCTCATCGCCTCGGGCGATATAAAGGGCGGGCGGATCGGGATAGCGGCTCGTCACGCCGTCGCGCGCGAGGCGATAGACCAGCGCGGCGGTTGCTTTCGGCGTTGGGCTTCTTGCTTTCCCAGTGTAATAGGCGTGGGCTCCGTCTATTTCTTCGCGCGGGTCAGTCAGTGGTGTGTGTTGTGTGGGTACGTTACGTTACGTACGTATGCTCGCCCATTCTTTCAGCCGCTCTTTCTGCGGCCGGTCCAAATAAGAAGCTTCCACCGCTTTGTCCAGGAGGAGCCGTGGGCGCCGCGCTCCCCTCCAATCGCGTAGTACGTGCACTCTTTCCACCGTGAACCGAGTCAAAATCGTCGCGCGCGAGCGGGGCCCACAGTTCCTGGCTTGGTCGCCTCCCGGTGGGACGGGTGCACGCAGACGCAGAGGAGGGTCCCCGACCCGGCTCGACCGCGCCACGACGAATTGAATGTCCTTTTGGGTCCGCACCGCACGTTCCAGAAACCTCAGGGAGAGAAAGTAATTCCTTGGCACCTGTCTGTGGCGCTGCCGCCTGCCTCGCCGCGAGAGACGCGTGTTTAGTTGGAGGGAATTTTAGAATTCGGCTACTGTAGCACTTCGTTTTTATTTGATAATTAGTGTTTAATTATGGACTAATTAGGTTTAAAACGTTCGTCTCGTAATTTCCCACCAAACTGTGTAATTAGTTTTTTTTTCGTCCGTCTATATTTAATGCTCCATACACGTATCGCAAGATTCAATGTGATGAAGTATTGTAGCACTTTTTAGGAAGTTATTTTAGAACTAAACACGGGCAAAGTAAAACCCAAAGGCGCGTGGAAAAGGCACGAGCGCGGACTTGTGCTTCGCGGTCGCAGACCCACCACACCGATGGCTTGCGCGCTCGTTGCACTCCACTGCGGCACCTCCGATTTGTCCACATCTCTCACTTCCACGGACGTCACCTCAACCCAAAAGTTGGGTGAGTACGCGAAATACAGCCGCCCATCCCACTGCGCTGCTGCAAAATTCGTGGACTTTGAATGAAAACAAAAAAAAAGGGGGGGAAACTACTGCATGCACGCCGTCGATCGATGATGCTTGCAGTCAAGCTGATGATGTAAGTACTATTTTTTTTGACGCCTCTGGATACAGCTGTAGCATCTACTCATGATGTAAGTACTACTTTGATTGATCGTGCAGCTGGTTACTTTCGTCAGCCGTTGATTTCTTCTCCGTGAAAAAAAAAATTCGCGGTAGTAGGTGCGAACAAGATGTTTGGCTACCACGATCATTAAAGCTTGGACTTTTTCGTCGTCACAGGACACGAAACGGCGCACAAGGAATGTGAGGCCGGAACCAACGATCGTTACGGGCGCATGTAAGCAAAAATCATCGCCAGGCGAGCTTGACATGGACACGCCGCAGCCCCGGCCGTGGCGTCGACCGTGCCGTCACACTGACGCGGATTATAACTGATGCGTAATTTCTTCTCGGTGTGTTACCTAGTTGGCTAGTTACACAGCTAAATTTCGCCTAACTGACTTGACTTAGTACTGGTCTATCGAGTATCAACCTGTCTATATATAAGTATTATATCAGAGTTGTATATATAAATTTAGGGTTCGCTACTAATCAAAATAGCTTTTTTTGTCCTTTTTCACGTTTACTCATATTTTAGGGCTCCTTTGGAATATAGGATAGGGAAAGGATAGTGAAGCGAAAAATGTAGGATTTGAGGTGACAAGTTCCTCTAATCCTATAGGAATTCAATCCACGGGAAAATACCCAGGATACCCTTTGGCCACTCATAGTAAAAAATCCATTTTGAAATTTAGCTTTAGTCCCGTGAGGTAGAGAAATGATTTAGTACCGGTTGGTAACTCCAACCGGACTAAAGGTCCTAACTATGGTGGAATTTTTTTTGGAGGATCCTTTAGTCCCGGGGAGCTATCAACCGGGACTAAAGGTTAACTTTTACTCTCTACTCCTAGGATATAAAGTCTACTCCCGCTGGAGGCTCCGTCCGAGACTAGAGGGATTTTTAGTCCTTTGTCTGCCTCCAACCGGGACTAAAGGTCACCAACCGTCTGACCTGGGCGACGTATGTACAGAGAGCGAGTAGATCGAGACACTAGTACGTTGTGGGAGTAGCTAGCTGTTCACCATTTTAAGCTAGCTGTTCACCGGCACTAGCTAGCTGTTCACCGGGCTTAAATCAGCAAAACGTAGGAGTAGCTAGCTGTTCACCATTTTTAGCTAGCTGTTCACCGGCTTAAATCAAACGGGCTTAAATCAGCTAGCTGTTCACCGTCAAGATCATGTAAAGCCAACAAAACAGTCAAGCAAGCTAGCTGCTACACTAGTACGTAGGAGTAAGCCACCGTCGACACATGCATGCGTATCAATTAGTCCCATTGAGTATTACGCCGGGACTAAAGGTATATCTTTAGTCCCGGCCACCACCGCTGACACACATGCATGCGTATCAATTAGTCCCATTGGTATTATGAGTCGACTAAATGTGTTTTAGTCCCGGCGCTTATAGGAGCCTCGATGGGCCGCCCAAGACGCAATATACCGGAATTGTTGGCCGGCCCCACATATTAGCACCACCTCGCTTGCTCGTAAGAGTGAAAGCTAACTTAAAAGCTTAGCTCTCGAACCATGCAAAGACGAACTTGAACAGATCTGCTTATAGGATTGTACCGCCGATCCTTGACTAAAGGTCCTTCGTACTATAGTTTATACAAAATGTTGAACGTTATAAACGTACGATATTCTAGCAAACATGAGAACGCGTATTCAAAAACCAAAACGAATCATCAATTAAAAATAGGAAAAAAAAGAAAATAGAAATAGAAACAAAAAAAACCTTCAGGTTCGGTAGTAGCGTGAAAATAGAAAAAAAAGAAAATAGAAATAGAAACACAAAAAACCTGGTAGCAGCCTGAAAATAGAAAAAAAGGAAAATAGAAATAGAAACAAAAAAAAAGGAAAAAAAACATTTAGTCCTGGTTGGTATTATCAACCGGGACTAAAGGATCATCAAGCCGGAGGCCTTTTTTAGCCCCGTTGAGTATTACAACCGTGGTGGACCTTTAGTCCCGGACGCGAAACCGGGACTAAAGGAGGAGCCATTTAGTCTCGGATTCGTGCTCCCGATTTCAAAACCGGGACTAAAAGGGGTTACGAACCGGGAGCTAATTTCTCTACTAGTGCAGGTGAAACACAGGAATCTGAACTAGCCGTTTGAGCATTGAAATCAAGAAGCTAGCCGTTGCAAGTGTTGATGTGCCAATATATATACATACATATACACACACGGCTGTACAAACCACACCACCTGTTCATCTCCAAGCACACAGTTCGTCTCTCTCCAAGCCCACACAGTTCGTCTCCAAACACAGGTTCATCTCCAAACACTTCAAGAGCTCTGACCAGATACTTCATATGGTGAGTCATGAATCTCATAATTTTGTTTTTCTTATGTATACGTAAGTCTTGGTAGTGAAATTTATTTGTTTTTGCACATCTCCAAAACCAGGTTGTAGTACTGGGACAAGAAACACATAATACATTTGGAAATGGATGCAAACTATCGATGTCGTTCCCAAAATGACGAGTTCATGTTATTTATTCTCCCTAGCATAGGAGATTCATCACAACCATCATCTAGTAAGCAACTCATACATACATCAAAACTATGGCTGACCGTGTCAATGAAATCTTAACCGGCCATGAGAGTCTTAGCAAAAAGAACTTCCCTATGGAAGTTCAAGTCTTCCAAGCTCTGGTCCACATTTTGCGTGACAAACAATTACTTGCTGATTCAAGAGCTATCTCAGTAGAAGAGAAAATTGCTATATTCCTGAATGCCTTAGCAAAAAATGCAAGTAATGAGACTTTGCAATATGAGTTTCAACACAGTGGAGAAACAATAAGTAGGCATCTTGGAGCGGTGCTTGATGCAGTTACACAACTTACATGCACATATATACGTCCACCGTCCCTACATCCTCACCAGATCTTGAGAAGACCAAAATTTCACCCCTTCTTTCAGGTTTGAAGTAATGCACTATTCAATTCTTCAAATTTATAGCAAGTTAAACATATCACTTATAATACAAGAATATTTCTTCCTATTGTAGGATTGTATCGGATGTATTGATGTGACTCACATACCAATGATACTTTCATTAGATCAACAAGAACCATATCGGAACAGGAAGCAAACACTATCTCCATACAATAATATTTCTTCCTATTGTAGGATTGTATCAGATGTATTGATGTGACTCACATACCAATGATACTTTCATTAGATCAACAAGAACCATATCGGAACAGGAAGCAAACACTATCTCAGAATGTTATGCTAGCCTGTGACTTTGACCTAAAATTTATACATGTACATTCTGGCTGGGAGGGATCAGCTTCAGATGCAAGGGTTCTACAAGATGCATTCAATCATGGTTTGGAAGTACCTCCTGGTAAATTTTTTCTTGTAGATGCCAGTTATGCAAACACAACACAGTTTCTTGCCCCATATCGTGGGACAAGATATCATCTGTAGGAACAAAGCAGAGCTAGACAAAAGCCACGTGATTACAAGGAGTTGTACAACCTTCGACATGCACAACTGCGAAACCATATTGAGAGAGCAATTGGAATATTAAAAATGAGATTTCCGCTGAGGACCGGCTCACACTACCAAGTTAATAAACAAGTTGACATATCAGTTGCTTGTTGTGTTTTGCACAATTTCACACGCCTACACAATGGTGATATGTTCTGGCCAAATAATTCCAATGCAATTGATCGAGCCAGATTGGTCCGTGCCAAATGGAGACCAGAACTACATTGTTGATGTGTTTAACAACTCCAGAGAAACTAGAAAACCGCAAAGCGAGGAGACCCCCAGATCCTCAAGACTATATTGGTAAGATATTACAAGTTGTACTATATTAACAACCAAATCCTCCTCCTCCGACTATATAAGGAGAGGCGGGGAACCCCTCAGGATAATCCATCTAGATCATACAGCAATACAAATAACAGAGCACATGACGTATTTTACGCCACACCGCGGCCTCAACTCAGTGTATGTGGTGTCTCATCATTACATCCTAGTCGTTACATAGCACGAAGGTCTTAATATAATATATTTCACTGATATGATTGTTGACATTTCTTAACATCACTCTTAACTAAATTGTCATCCCTAGCATGATGCCAGAAATGCGTTGTTGGTAATTATAAGAACAAAGTCATAAATAAAGAGATACAATGGCTATACCAGTCTCTAGACGGCAGATCCGGAATTCTGAGCGATAGCCCAAACTCTACTTGAACCTTGCTAGCTAGTCTATACTAGAAACTTAAATAATTAGAGCTCTATTCTCTTCTCTCTGAAAACCCTAATTTCTGGTCTACTCTTGACTTATGGCAGCGTGCCCTGGAGGGGGGCAGGGGTTGGTTATATAGGCCGGAGCATCCAACGTGAGCTTGTGGGGGGTATAACCCTAGGTACCCATGGCAATGGACATGGGCCCACCACCATGGGAGGTCCAGTCCATAAGATCAAGGCCTACGGTGCCCAGTTCTGGTCGACGTGCACCACAAGGCAATCCGAAGACATCTTGGCGATGAAGGAAGATCTTTTTGGATATGATAGATATTGTATTTCTTGTAAATACTTACTATATAACCGAATAGATCTAGACCTAAACCGACTTATAACCCTACCCCTAGACTATATAAGGTGGGTAGGGACCCCCTCGAATTCATCTCATATTCAATACAATCAACCAAAGACACAGGACGTAGGGTATTACGTCGATCAAATGGCCTGAACCTGTCTAAATCACTGTCTCTGCGCCCGTGTCACCATCCGGTTCCTATTATGCACCTCCACCAATCTATCTACTACCGTGGGTATACCCTGTAACACCCTCGATGTTACCGCTTAAATAACTTGCTAAACTATGTCATGAGCATCATGTTTTTGTGATAATGCATGTAATAAAGTGTGTAGATCAATTTCCGTAACTCAAAATGATCAATAAAAATACTAAACGAAAGTTGATTCGATAGTTCATGGATATCAAGTAGGGTTTGAAACTAATTTTTATTGAACAAAAATACTATAGAACATGTATGTGACACTTAAATAAAGTTTGAACTTCAAACTTTGTAGATAACAATGAAATACTTGTTGTAGAAAAATAATGTTACTAGCTGGTATTTCTAATAGTCTAGAAATAGAACTTGAAAACAAATTCACCTCAAAAACTTAGAAATTTTCAAGTCTTCCAACAGCTAGACATTGCTATGTTTAACAATTTATTGTGAAAGTTTGGGTTAAAGGGTGGTGTAGTGTTATAGCTCGATTTTGTAGTCTCATATGCCATCTTGAGCATGGTGAAGCTGGTTTGGCTCCTGGAGCAACCGTTTGGTCGTGTTGAGAGCTTTAAAATTCGTGCGCGTCACATGTCTCGGGCTGGTTGGCCGCGTGGTCGCGATAACCGTGCTCGGGCGTTCGGCGTCGCCACGTTGGTCGCGCGTGTGGCCGACCGTGGCTACCTCTGGCCTGGCTATGGCTCAAATGCCGCTGGCCCCGCCGCACCATGACGAAGCCACTGCCGGCGCTATCACCTCGCCATCACGTCCACCACTACTGTCTTGCTTCGCTGTCGACCCACCAAGCGCCGCTGCCACTGCCATCGCGTCCGTGCCTGTCCGCTGCATCTCTGCGCTGTTGTCGGCCCAGTGCGTGTCACCTCTGCCGCGCGCACGTGGTCGGGCTCACCGTCGCCTTGTCATTAATGACACTTTGGCCACGCAGGCCACGCCGGTCGGTCGGGCGTGCCTGTCGGCTAGCGTCGGTGCGTGGGTCTCCCGATCTCGCCGCTCGTGTCCCGCCAAGGCGAGGATGAGCCGAGCCGACCTGCCGCGCCCCATCTCTCTCTTTCTTCCTCTGCTTTCCGCCGCCGTCGGGTCGCAGTCACGACGAGTCAGAGAGCGAGCACCTCTCATCAATTCCTCGTGCCTGTGTCTCCATCTTTACATCCTCTTGCCAACCGCCCCCACCCCGCCTTGATTACGGCCTGGCCAAGCTCCAATTTTGGAGCTTTGCTCCCACCGCCGCGCCATTAAGGCCCCGCCCGCCTCATCGTGGCCAGCTCCAACCTCACCATCTTTCGTCGAATTAAACGCACCACTAGCCTCACCTAGAACCCCTCTTTGTCATGCGCACACTAGTCGCATCCCTAGTGTCGCCTCCACGCTGGTGTCACGGCCGTCTCGCTGCGGTTCGCCGTCGAGATTGCCGTGTGCACGCGGCCAGACTTGCTCGGGGCGTCTCCGGCCATGACACCGCCACGGGTAGGATCGTGGTGCGTCACTAATGCTTACCCGTCACCTCAATTATCTGTTGTACGCTGTGACTTACTAGAATGCGGTTGCCGCCACGACAGGTCACCGCCGTCGGGGAGAGCCCGCTCTGCTTCACCCCTGTTCGTGCAACCACCGCCCATCGTCGCGCGTAGGCCCACAGGTGAGCATCGGTCCCCTAGCTAGGTCTGCAAGGGTCTTGGGTGGCCATCGTACCGCCTAGTGCCACCGCCTACCACGCCAGCGAGCGCGGGGCATCTCGGGGACCTCTCCGGTGCGAAGGTGAAAAGATACGAGAGCTCCGTTGTAAAGTCGTTGTATATAGAAATAGTACGTGTAGTGTTCGCGTTATTGTCTGATAACGCGAGTGTGTTTTTACAAGAGTGCCAGCGCGCGCGGGAGCTCCCCGCCATGGGCTGCCTTCGTGCGTGGGCCGCACTCCGCGTGGGCCGCGTTGGGCCGAAATCGATTTATCTTTTTTGTGGAAAATAGAAATAGCTTTTCATTTTTATTCTGAGCTGATCTTTGGTAAATCATATAAAATTATGTAGGTCTCTAGAAATTGTGAAACAAAGTTCGTTAGGTTTCTAAAATTATGCTCTATCTGTTAGTATATTTAGTTCATATATGTGCTTGTTGATACCAGGAGCTATTAAATCATTTGAGGGTGCTCAATATTATTAAGTTCATTATTATAGGAATTTTTGTGGTAGATTGGTAATAGCAAAAACCCTAAAATTTTTATAGTAGCTTCATTGTATTATTATGTGCTCATTGTAATTTGTATAGCCCTAAAATAGACTATTTAATATAGTAGCTAAATACCCATTGAGACTAAATGAATAATGGCATGATATTGGTTTATAAAAATTAAGCACTTGTAGGGTGAACTTGGAATCTATTTAGTAGAGATAATGATTAGCTTAGTATCTTAGTCATTAGAGCTAGCTTAATAGTTTAGCATGTGTATTCTTATTTTAAGAGTTGTTGTTGTCAAAATACTAAGTGTTGCATCATCGTTGCATGCATGTAGAGAACGAGTTGGTGGAGTTCGTAACCACCGGAGAGCAGGAGTACGAGGAGGTGATCGAGGAGTACGAGGAGAAGGTCCTTATGCACGAGGTCTCGAAGCCATCACCGACTGACTTAGCTAACAATCTGCCTGCCCAAGGCAAGCCTCGGTGCATAACCCTTATTTTGAATAATCACTGGATATATATAGCGTGAGTAACCTACCGTTACTCACAATAGGTGATTGTCATTATTACTCTCATGATAAAATGGTGAAAGAAAATGGAGACCTGGTAGGGATATGGTACGGGTATTGGTGGGTGTAATAGGTTGTGTCCCATGGCCAACGGGGCATAGCTTGGTTACACTGTTTTCCCTGTCCGTGTCGGTTAAGGATCAACCGTTGCATTGAATTCTAGTTAGGTCACAGACTTATTATCCTGAGCACATACTTGCTTATGGGAGCGGGAAGGCTTATTGCTCTCTTGTTGTGGGTTCCGACTCTTTCTGGACTGACTGATTGGAGGCGGGGATGGTGGAGGTCTAAGCACCACATTGAGTCCGGGACTTAGAAGTGGGGGCTTGGAGTCCAAGTTTGGACGGGGACCTAGACCCCTTGATTAGAGAGTGGTGGGTTGGTCTTGCTTGTGCCTGGGTTACAAGCAGGGCATGTGTTTCGGGGTACCTAGCTAGGATACATTGGTTTGTGAATCGCCGTGTGATACGGTACGGCTTGGCTATTATCTAGCACCATAGTAAGAACTG